AAGTAAAATAGCTTCGGAAGCTCTTTGTAGAAGTTTAGAAGGCAAGTAAGTATTACTACTCAGCACCTACATCAGATGTAGCAATCGATAAGCTATTGAATGCTATATGATGCGGTAGAAATTTCACCAATCTGTGGTATTGAACTTTCTTTCACCTGTAGCTCAGCAATTGCAAAACGTTCCATACCGGAATACACAAAAATTCTTATTCGTTCATTGCAGTTTGCATTTGAAGGTATTAAATTAGCCTCGTTCGATAATTCATACTTTGGCCGCAATATCTCAGCATCTCAGTGTCTGCCTTACAAACTTATTCATCCGCAATTTTATCACCACTCGTACGATATTAAAAAGTACAATTTTGAGGGCTTGCAAAATAGCATAATCTTTATATCAAATTTTATCCAAATCCATCCAGTAGTCGAGTTGAATCGACTGGACAGACATGACCAGCCCACAGTGCGTTCTCGCTGTACACTTCGTGCAAAGAACGCATAATAAAACTTTCAATTCATTGCCAGTGTGTGTGTATGTTTAAGTGTGATCAAATAAAACGCTGACTATAGTTTTACAAACATATTTTTTAAAAAAAATTGTGATGTCTAATAGGTTGGAGGGCTTGCCTTTGCTGTGATATATTCCACTGAGTTATGATGCAGTGAAAATCCCCGCCTTTTCCTATCATGTGACCAGCCAGCCTCCCGGTCCTGCGTTAATGGACCAGTTTATTGGCGAGCGAAACTAGGCGAGGGGAAACACAATCCCAAATCCGCCTCTCAACTTTTCTCTCACTCAAGTGCTCTATTTTCTCAATTGGAACTTAGCGATGTTCGAGCTTGCCATCGGGATATTTTCAAGGGGATGGAACAGGGTTTTGAGTTACTTCAGTCCGGAATATTTCTCCCAAGTGTCTTTCGAATACGGATAATTTACGTTTAAAGATGACTTCAAATATTTTGCGTTTTGTAGTGTGATAGATGTTGGCTGTCGTATCAGAGGTTCCTACTACCAATATCGTACTCATTGTCATGGTGATGAAGACAGCACCTCTGAAACGTCGGTAAGCTTCTATCAGACTACACGGCGGTAGATTCCAGAAGACAGCCATCTTCATAGTCTCTGGAATTTTGTTAATTTATGGTTTTTTAAGCATTGCGGTTCATTAGGCCTACTTTATAAATGTTTTACTGATGAAATTCTCGCATAGTTTATTCAGGTTTAATGTTCCCCAAATTCTACCTTCAGGCGTCGTCTTGTATTAATATCAACTTAAAGTTTTACGTTATCCTCATTTATGTTTATATATTGTCCTGTTTGTTTGCGTTTTTAAGTAATATTTTTACCAACATAAAAGTCGCGTCTTCCATCTGTTGTAAGTGGTTAAGAATATTACCACAAGTACATTTTAATTTTTGGTAGATATATAGTCTTATCTGCAGCACTTCCAAGCTCACGTTTTCCTATATTAACCCGGTTGGTGCAGAGATAATTTGTGTGACCGTCAATAATGTAACCCTGTTTGTTCGTAAGTGAAGGAGGCTTAAGAAACGATCCTCATTAATGGATGAACGTCTATAAACAGTTTTGTTCTCGAATTTTAGTGTGTAAATCATTGAGCTCCTCCTGTATAAACTTCTTATATGGTAGATATTTACAATGGATTAAGAGACCAATTAATTTTTAAGGGATTAATTGTAAATTTTGTGCAGGATGTAAGTATATAACTTCGAAATTACTGCATTTTTCCACATCTTCTTCCCCCTTTCCTGTTTCCACGAATTTTCCTGTCGAACAACTGCGCGTAATAGTCCCTGCTCTTATGTTTTATTCATGAATATCCTTTCGATCTTTTACGTTTCCTTTGAGATTAATCTTTTTAATGTAACTATACGGTGTTTGTCAACAATAGAATTTATAATCACCTGCATTGTTGATTAGATGTGTCGGTAATGCTTTTGTATCTTCAGAAAGTTAGCACGAAGCCCAATGACAATTGCAAAATGTCAAAGAGAAATCATTTAGAAACAATTATGTAAGACAAACTGAAATACAAATTTTTATTATCTCCATATTATAACTAGCCCCGGTAGACAAGTTATGTCGTGCAAAGCGGAGAATTACTTGACTTGTTGAGCATGATATTAAATTCTCGAAATGAACTCTGCACTTTGAAGTTATTTGATTGGTTAATTAGGTAGTTAATAGTTACTAAGATGTCTATTTTAGAACTTTGCCAATGAAGTAAGAAGACTGAGGATTGTCGTTCTGTAGGAATTTTCACAACTAGTGAATTCAATTGAGAATATTCGACTTTAGCAAGGAGAAATAAAAAGTAGAACAGTAACATAAAAAATAGAATAGCATGATCAAATATAAACGAACCCAGTGCTTCAGAATGGTAAGGTTATTCAGGATCGAATTAAAACTATTAGTACCGTGTGTGATAGTTAATACATTATCTCTTGTTTCAAGAAACAAATGGCCCTTGAGATTTTCATATACATATATACATCTTACATGAAACATTTACAATACGATATAAAAAAGGTTCTTTTAGTTTATAACCACTCTGTATGTATATCTGCTAGGATCGTTTCAAAAGACTGGTTATGCCTTTATTCGTCACGCAATGGTTCTTTGTTAGTGAATTTGTAAAATATGCTGTTTTGGAAAACACTGGGAGTACAATATTCAGATACCTCCGAACTGAAACTGATCTTATGTAAATTATCCTGCGTTACGATAATAATTTTAAGTTCTATTCCTTTTAAGAGTTTCGTTTTCCCTACCTGTTCTGCATATATACTTCGGCGAAACTTCCAAGTAGCATATTCTTGTGGGCATCCTGAACTGCAGCTTGGAAAGAGAACTTGTACATAAATGAAGCATTAAAATCACTGTCTCAGTTGCTGTGGTGCATTTTGGATTTTAAGACGATTATACTGGTCGGTTAAGTAACATCGTATACCGTAGAATAATTAAAATTAACAATGAACTGGAAGGGATATCAAAGGAAGCTATCATGGTTCAATTTATTGTGCTATCCCGATATTTTAACGGGTGAACTGAGTAGAATCACGAAAAGTAGTCAGGATAGTTCGTGTCAGGGCCGAGATTTGAACCGGAGCCTCGCGAAACGAAGCTGGAGTGCTGGCTACTTTATCGACTTTCGACCGTCAGATTGTTATCATGATTGGTAATCATTATCAGCATCAGTTCATATTATGAAACCAACAAATTTGCTCCTGTATTTCGCGTAATTAGACAATTCAGTTTGCTGTTGTCATCTGTCTGTCCGTCTGATGAAATACAACAGTCTTTTAACATGAAACCTACATGCTATTTTAAATAATGCGTTTCAAGCAGGAGTCTTACCACTTATAAATAATTTTTGTGGAAGACAAAAGAATTCCATGTTAGATTGTGGTCTCGATATTTTAATGTCTGCTGTACTCTATCACTCTCTGCGTTGTTTCACTCTCTGGCCTTGTACAAGTTCAGTATGGAAAGACGAGAGTGGACTAGTGCTAAGCTCTTCCCCAGAGATAGTTGTCACACAGCCGTTTAGCCAATCTGTCCACCCATTCTCGAAGGGGAGCGTTGGCTAGTAGGCTAGCCGCTAGAAACAATTCCGGTTCCAATTTTATACACTCACACTAAGATGGGACCTGTAATTGTACCCCTCAACGCCAGGAAGTAATTTCAGTTCGACAAGATGCAACAGCCCAGGAAACCTGTTTACTGCGCCAAGTGGCCTGAAAGCCTCCAGATAATTCTACTGCGAGTTGTAAACGTTTCTGGTAGGAAATCCAATTCTCGAATGGGTTATGCGCTCCGCTTCTACAATAACTGGGTTACTAAAACTCATATAAAATAAAAAAAATCTGAACAGGACTTGATGGTTTGCTTAACACAATACCTTGAACCTTCTATACACTCTTTAGCCTGTCCTGTTTACACTAGCGATATCCTGAAATTCATCTCCTACTCTCCATTTTTAATGTTTTGTTATGTAACGTTTTCAACATTTAATATGGTTTTTCTTTAAACTCATTTACTAATCCGATATATTATGAATTTGTATTTCCAGAATTTTATTTATATGAGAATTTATGATATCCCACTTTCTTTATTGAACCAGAAGGTTCGTCACCGTTATCACAAAAGCCATAAAAATTATTAATTAATTTAAGTTGTCTATTGCAGTGAGAAGACCTACTGACGGGCTTTGCAAAACACTGCAGGAACTTTTCCATTTTTGTTCATTAGTTTACTTCACAAAGTACGTTGGAACCGTTTATTGTTTAATTCATTATTATATATATGGACTGTATTATCTTTAAATTTATTAGTAATGGTTGGGAACAATTTACATAAGTTGGCAACGCTGACATTGAATTTTGATGTCATTTGTTTTGTGTGTTTCTCATTTGTTTTCTAATTCCATAATTCACCCCTAGATGTAGCAAGTAGTATGTGGAGAAATCAGTAATATTTCTTGCAAAAAGCTGGGCAGTTGCGTTTTTGCAGCAAGCCTGGTCATGTTTTGTATATTGTGATGGAAGGTTACAGACTTACTCAAGTGTTTTTAATGCAGTTATTGAAAGAGGGCGTTTACTGTGTTATGACATGCTGGTGTGTTTTGTGTACTGTGTGATATACGAAGTAAACAGTTCACAGGTTTCACGTATTGCATCATTCAAAGCCTGTTTTCGTTTACTGAAGCTAAACCGCCCAGCAGGTAAATTTTGTAGGTGGTAGTCATGCACTTTGGTAGTCCTCGCTTACACTGATAATACCGATATATAACCATTTATTTTTACCTGCAAATACATACAGGGTTACTCTTCAGATAAACATCGATCTCTTCACCAGTGTGAGAACCTCGAGTTTCATACAACCTGTAACACATCCATATACGTGACCTAGGTCTACATACACTGTGCTACTGTACTGTACATAAATGTGTGTCGTGACACCCAGTTCTGACATTGTTCCAGAAGCACATAGGGCGCTGGAGCTGCTTGAGGACTACCATGAAAAACTGACAAAACCACAGGACAAACAGCTCCGGCTGGCCATCGAACGCGTCATACGGATCTTCAAGTCTCGTCTCTTCCAAGCGTTGCTCGGTGAGTATAATAATACATTTCTTACGTGTGCGTGTTACGTAGCCTACAGACTTTTCATATTGAAGTGTGGTGACTTAGTTCTTCGCCTCGCACGGGAAACGGGTGACAATGAACGCTTATATAAGTCTAATTAGTTAACGTGACATACTGTATTACGGCGATCACCCTGATGATGGAGGCAGAATGGACCTCTGAAACGCTGGTAAATTTATACCAGATTACACGGCGCTTCAATCCAGAAGGTAGCCATCTTCGGACTCACCACCGAAACCATTTCATGCCTCCATTTGTCTTCGAATATTTGAAATGACTCGGTGCCCTAAGGAAATTTGACAGACATCACACCTAAACGTAACTGCCCGTACTTTTGACATTTTATGTATGAAAATGGTTAGTTACTATGGGAATACGCGAAAGACAATTTATTGTTTGTATCTCCAGAATGTTATTGGTTTAACAGTGGGATAGATGAATCGCCGAGAGGATTAAGTAGGTATTGTTAGCAACAGATGGTACTGACGGGCGGCCATACTTATCACCGATCAGTAGAGAAAATTTAATCAATTTACGGTGAAAATCTGACATGAATTCGCAATATGTCCATCGTTGTAATATTAAATTGATTTTAATGAGAGATTTCATTGGAGTGGGGTAAATCCCATATAAATCTATTCCAGTACAGCTTAATGTAACGCATATCACGAATGAAGCGGGCGTAACTTCCGGTCATTTGTACATCGGGAGGAAATGATACGTACTGCGTGGCAAACATATTCCTCCATGATTTCGTATTTTTATCAACAAACGGAACATCAGCTGTCAGTTTAATGGCCTCAGAGCCATAATACCGATCATGTTAGCCGAAGCGGTACACCTTGTAATATGTAATTAAGACATTATCGTTTCGGTACTCAGAGAGGGACGTAGATTATCCTGTTCGGGGATTTTCATGATTAACGTGAGCCCAATCCAGTACAAATACAAACATAAATGAATGTACTATAGCTCGCGTGCTCAGACTAAGGTTTTTCACCACGGAGACTCAGGTCAAATCTGAGCTGAATTAAAGTGATATTCATGTTGAAGCAGGTTTTCCTCTGAGTTCTTTGATTTTTCTTCTGATAGTCATTGTTCCACCATGGCTCCATAATTATCTGCAATGCGGTGCGCGGTGTTAAGGCCCTCATTTCTGAACCCGTCACTGAGAAAACACAGCCTTTATAGACAGATATAAATGTACTATTTCTACACACGTTGTGGATATACATAGAAATGTATTTGTTGCACTTTGGCCCGCAAACCGGAGTTTGGTTGCGTTGTAACAAGTAACAAGGTTCTTCTCAGGAGCATTAGTTGTCCGGTAATAGCAGTAGAGCGTCATCATTGGCCTGATCAAACGGTTCTGTCATTGTCTTTGTAAGTAGCATGACCAAGGAGATGCATGAAATTTCACTTGTGACAGAACCTCTTACTACCAACTTAACGACGCATCGAAGGCCTGATTCTGCAACCTGTAGCGTGAAGTTTCAGAAGCACAGTTCATAATTTCCGACGCTCCGGGAGTTGTAATTTGCCACAAAGTTTCATCAAACTTCAGTAATACAACATATCTAGAAACTGAAGTTCTGTCTGGTGTATTAGAGTGTAACTACAGTTATTGAATATTACAAATATATACTTAAGCGGATTTCATTTTTGCCATGGTTTCCGTATTTTATAAGCTGCGTATTATTTCCCAGTGAAATAATATCGTATTAACATCACGTTGTTTTTGTACATGTGTATGTATGTAACTCTTGCTTTATAGCTTACTTAGTTTTCATATTGAAGTTTATTGACTTAGTTCTTAACTCCGCAAGTGAAACGGGGACTCTGAACACTTATAAGATCTTAATTAGCCATCTTAATAGCGTGACATACTGTATTACAGACCAAACGGTCGGGATTTCATACTTGGAACCGTCCCATTTTTGCGTAACTTCAGTTATCGAGTCGAAAATAGATATACATTTCCAGAATCTGTTGTAATAATTTCATGATGTAACTCTTTTATGATGATGGAGGCAGCAAGGACCTCTAAAACGTTGATAAACTTGTGACAGACTACTCGGCGTTACAATCCAGAAGACAGACATATTCATTTTTATTTATTAGTGTTTTCAGGTATTTATACCTACATTTTAAATGTTTTTAAATGATGTATTCTCCTTTCGTCCTGCCTTTATGAATAAGGACTCATAAAGGATGTTCAGGTAAAACATTGGACGAAGACGCGGAGAATCGCAGCGACGCTCCGTTGTTTACTGCAATTACTAGAGTGTAAAAAGTGCATTTGTCTTGAATCCCGGTAGCCACCATCCGCTTTTAACTCTGCTTTATAGGACGGAAGGGAATTGGATTCTGCAGAAGCACTGCATTGAGACCATCAGCATTATGCCACAGTGCAGTGAAGTGGAGTCCTGCTAAGGAGCTGGTTGGCACGGCGTGTACAGCTAACTTAACGTGATATTCTGATAGCAGCATTGAACACATATGATCTGTTTTATGCTGTGATATTCTCTCCGGAACAGGAGGAAGTAAGGCGACTGTACCACAACAGCATGGCGGACCCGTGCGATGCCATATCCAGCGTGCGAAGCGGGGAAATGCATTTACGATGTTAGTGAGACCTCGTGCTGGCCGGTGAATGTACTTTGTGGGGGACAGGGGGTGGAGACGCTTGACGTCGTTCGACACACGAACCCAAAGACACCGTTGATGGTTGAGGAAATTGAGTTTCGTGCACTCTCATATTCCACGGGGAGCCTGTATTGTTCCTTTTTGATTTTATTTTATATATCCCAAAACTGTTTTTAGTTTCCTCTGTTTTATGCGTCTTTCATTTAATTACGCTGTCAATAGTTTAGACTCAATGGTGTCGAATGATAGGATGAGTAATGAATAAATGATTAGAAAGGATGTGGAATGAAGGTTTTGGCGTAATCAAATGTAATATACCGCATTTCCGAAGGTACTGAGGTAAAAAACTAAATACTTGAGTCACAATAGCCGATGTCTCCGATTTGAACCCAGAATCTTCTGAATAAGAAGCAGGAGTGGTGGCCTCTCGGTGGAGACTTTTCATTTCTTAGTAGATATAGTTACTTCGCGCTCTTCATGCTACTGTGTATAAAGCTGTTAGATGTTATAATCTTAATGTTAAAGGCAATTTTGAACACAATATATGTTATGGGAGTTAAATGTGATTCAGTATCTATGAGAGTCTGAGTACGGTCTTGTTTGATAGAAACTTGTAGCTCAGAAATATTATTATTGTTAAAAATATTATAAAATATTTTTTGTGTCCAAACTTTTTCTGTGTATGAATTTGAATTTTAACATTCTGTACACTTTAATAGCGTAATGTAGATTCGCCTTCCCATACGGATGTTAGGGTGTATATTTTTTAATTGTATTTGTTCTGTACAAAGTTTTATTTACATTCGTATGTTAGTACGTACATTCCACTAACAGTTTCTGTGGAAACAGGAAAAGCATTAATAATTTTAACGTATGTAAATTATCTTTTTAGCTTCTTTGATGACCCTTCGTCGACTGTGCACGTTATACAGCTTCTGATGAGATATGACACGGTCATTATGAATCATGAGCTGGCAAAGTCCCAGAAAAGTAAGCCGGGTGGAAAATATGGTGAATATCTTGTCAGGAAAAAACAAGGCTCGACCAAGGAAAAAGCGAAAATATTAGGCATTCCGAGAAGTAGGGAATGCATGAATAAATGAACCCAGCGGTAACCATATGTTCCACCTTCTTCAACAATCAATATATCTTAATTTTACATTTATGGGTTTCGTATGATTATCACTGTAAACAGGGAAAATTTGCTTAAGCAGAATTAACCAGTTCGTCTTTCTAATGGTGAAGTGTTATTTTCTCTGCGGTACGGATTTCTTAAAAATTATTTAGACGTACTTCGGCTTCAGCGATTCGGAGAGTTTCGTTTCACGTATGACACCTGAAAGGAATGTGCGATAAGAAAGCAATTAGTCTGATTATCTGAGAGACCAGAAGCCCCAGTAAACAACGTCAAAAATCGAACAACTCTCATTGCGGAGGACACGGAATGTTAGTCGAGCAACGAGGAAGAATAAATTGCAAGGATGTGCAATTAAGTGATCGTGGTTTGTTTTAAAGTAATATTTCAACATTCGTTTGAGTCAAGAAAGAAATAAACTCCATGATGTGCTAGATATTTATATATTTGATAGTATTAATATTGATTGTGGTCTGAATGCTCTCATAGTATTTTACTCTAGCATGGAACGCATTCATCTGAAATGAACTCATTCGGAGATAATATAGCGCTTTTTACATGACTTACTGCTAGCCAATCCTATGACAGACGTGTTCGTTCTACATTCGGAAAGGTTTATATTCTGGTACTTTCTACTCTGAATATCTTACCGTCGTGACTGTGTTGGCGAAATATCTCAAATGAAACGTAAGTGTAATTGAAATTCGTAACTTGTTGGAGACTTTACCTCGATGACGTACAAAGTTTCCCGGTTGAGGTGTTTAGTGGTTTACGTCACAGCGTCCCAGGAACTGTAGAGACTTTATTAAAAAAGTCACATACCTCTTCCTGATACTTCATTCTGAATTCGTAATCGATTGTCGTATGTGTTTCGATACTGTTTAACTTACTGATTCAGTGCGCCAATGAAATTCATTCATTTATTGAATTATTTATATAGAAGAACATTTCTATCCTATGATTGGTTTTTGTCGACCACAGCCTAATATAAATATTCTTTTGCTGAATAGAGTTTATTGTTATAAGTACAAATCTACCCGTCTCTTCCTCTGCCTATTTACGCTTATGTATCATTGTATCGTAATTATTATCTAACTTGGACGTTTCAGGCAGGCTCATAGCTTAATCTAAGTAGGCTATAGGTCTGTATGTGTCCCTGAATCACTATCAATATTCCTCAAACCAT